ATATATATATATATATATGTTTTTCCTTTGGTAAAACTATACCTATTTAAATACATTTGAAATGTTCCTATAGGTAAATTAGAAATTCTGTTCTAATACTGTGAAAAAGGCAAAATACTTTCACTTTTAAACATACAGCTTGTATACTCTGCTTCTCACCGCCCCCTCCCACTTCTCCCAATTTGATTTTGTTATCATTTTGGGCAAATTTGGCACCATTCAGTCTGATTGCTTTTAAAGTAGTCACTGTGTTAAAATCAGGGATAAAATTTTAAGTATCTTCTGTTCTTTCTTATTTGTTTCAATTAAGCTTTTTGTGCAGCTAATTATTGAGGAAGTATTCTAAAACTCAGGAAAGGACTTTAAAGGAGCCATGTTTCTTGATTTTAAACCGTACTCTACTCCAACGCCACAATATAGAAATAGATTTACTTTGGAACAAACTACAAATACATTCGCACAGTTTGTGACAACTTAATTGTCTACTTGGAGGTCCAGGAACAGACTTTCACACCCAGTTATTATAAATCTTGTCCCAGGTGCTCTATTTCATCAATCAGGAAGTCAATGTCTTGATGGGTGGCAGCAGGGTTGGAGATGACCATCCGGAAGAAGTTCACTTTGTCTCCCAGGGGCTGATAGCTCACCATAGTCGTTCCATACTCCATCATCCTGGCTTTTATCACTGGTGCCACCTACAGTGTAACAAAAAGCAAGAGAGAAGGATAATGATGATTATTATTGCAATGATGATCATTATTGCAATTATTGCAATTATTATAACCATTTTCACTACTACCATCATCCTTATTATTATTATAACAAAACTCAGAGTATGTTGGGGTTTTTTTTTAAAGATAAAGAACTACAAGAAGCAGTTCAAATGCAATTATGCCCAATACCAATAGAAAAGTTAACCTCCATTACAGAATAGATGTCTAATTGAAAAGACATTTGGTTTGTCTTGTTTCTTGACCTGCTTTTAAAATCACTGGGGAATTTCCCCCCTTCTTTCTTAATATTGTTGACAGCCACACAGTAGCTGTTTTTTGTAGCACTCAAAACATACTGTTACAATAGTTTTCCATCTTCTTTTCATGTCAGAATGCCGTGGTATTACCAAGCTATTGCTGCACTTGCTAAGTTTAGCGATTGCAACTTACGGTAACTTCAGTAACTATAAACAAGCAAGTACATACTCTGGAAACCGGCAAACCCAGGGAATACCAAACCTGGAGACCAGAGTAAGGCGCTGTCAGTCTAATCTGCAGTAAAATAACCACGGACCTGTCATTTGCGAGAATATAGTGAGGTGACCTTGCTCTGTGGCCTCGGAGATAATTTTGGGGACTGCCTGACAGCAAGGGTTTTGCTGTTCACTGCAGGATGTCCTGGAGGACGCTGCTTACCTTCGCAAGGCGGCTCATCCTTTCTTCATTGTTTTCCATACTGCGCAAGCTGGGAGGTATATACCAGAAGCAGACGTTTGTGTGCTGAGGCTAAACACAGAATAATAATGGTTTACACTGTAAGAAATGCTCATAATATCTCAATTGCTATTAAGTTCTTGCCTTTCCCCCTCTCATACATCATACTGTGGCAGCAATCAATGGTTTTCATTATTGTGGTACACAGAGAGTCATCACCATTATTAATACAGAGCAGATAATTCTAGGCAATTTATTCCTAGGGTGTCAAATGCAGAAACACATCACCCAGCTGTGCAAATGTATTTATGCCCTACTGACAGGCATCTAGATTTTGTAGTTGCTGTCCCCTGAAGAGGCTGAAGGGACCACATGGAAAAGGAAGAGCCTATTACACATAATTTAGAGGTGAGGATGATGTCATTTACTTTTATTATATGACAGCATAATATAGAACCTTGTTCTGTAAACAAGAGTCACAGGTGGTGTATGAGACAGTCTAAGATTTTCTTACATTTAATGAAATTTATTACTTCTCAGCTTGATTCAGCTAGCTGTCATATTAATATGCAAGCACCACAGCGTCTTAGCTAGTTTCACTTATACGGGAGCACCAAATAGAAAGGCATAAAGTGAAAACCAGTTGACATCTTGTGTACTTTTGCAATTTCCCAACAGTTGCCTGCTTTGCTACGTTCCTCTTTGCTCGTGCTAAATGGATGAGTTACAGCAGTTCCTACTGCTGCCACTTCCTTTACTCATCATCAGACCCAGTGGACCACATTCAGTGTTAATGTGTGAGGCGAGGGCAATAAATCACCTAGTGGTATGTGGGTATAAGCCTGCTATCTCTGTTTGAAGAAACATGGTGACGTTTATCCTTGTGCTGCAGAGCACTTAGGCATGCACTGTGATCACTACCAGGAAGCAAGCAGGGAGTTCTTAGAGACAAAACCTTCCACAGCAAATATAGAGAGGAAAAACCATCACAAGTAGGAGGAAAAAAGCTAAAATGAGAATTTTTTCTTCTCTTTTACAGGTAAAACACCATTAAACTTTGCAACAGAGGTCTCTGCCAGTCCCCAGCCATCACAGCTGGAGAAGGTTGCCCACAGAGAGATGGCCAAACATGGGACGGTCTGGTGCAGCTCGGAAGTGCAGCTCCACAACTCAGGCTGCACTACCTGGCCCTGGGCAGTGAGCTCCAGCTGAGCCCTTGATACCCAGAGACCCTGACTCAGCTGGACTCCCACAACAGTAACTACATGCCCAGAGATATCTATACCCTTTACAGTGGTGTCACCTCTGCCACATGAGCCAGCTGGGCTCCTGAGCAACATCAGCCTCTACCCTGCTGTGTCGCACCTCACATTGCAGCAGGAACTGCTGCACAGGTCCCCTGTGACTGCCCACCTGAGGATGCTAATCAAAGCACTTTGCACAACTGTCCTTTCAGAGTTGTGTGAGGCACTGTAACCCCCCACTTAGACCCTGCTATTAGGAAACTTCAACTTGTTTTTATTACTGAAGAGCTGATGCTAGCTGTGTGTGTGTGTGCTGTTAGCCTGAGATGCCAGTGTTTAGTTTCAGTGGGGTGTAACTATGAAAACTGAAATCTTATGCACAGCTGCCTCATCTCCTTTGTCCCTGGATCCCGTGAGGAAGAAAGAGATTGGCACTACAACAGGTCCTGTTACAAGGGACACTGCTTTCTGTCACATGCTGTTTGTTTGGTCTGACCTGTTGGTAGCATCCCAATAGGTGACTAAGGCAAGTACTGTTGACCAGCGGGGAAAAGGAAGTTGCAATACATACCTTTCCATCAAACACCATTTCATACCCTTCTCTGTTTTTTATTTTATTGTATAGGTATTCTGCAAGTTCCAAACATTTATCAATTTGTGCTTCAAATCCTGCGGTTCCCTTTAGAGACAGAGGGAGAAAAAAGTTATGTGATTATCAGTTCTGTGAGCCAAAATCACAACAGGACCATGCAGCCCTTGCCAAAACACCAGCACAAGTCCCCTCTTAGAAGTCTCTATGGGACAGATTAACGATCGGATTCCATGAGATGAAGGACACTTTGCAGAGCTCATTTGTCTCTGGCTTTTGCCACTGATGCCCCTATAGCCACCTCTGCAAATAAGCACCAAGTACTGGCTTTGTTCTCAGCAAAATATTGCTAACACCTCCAATGAAGGATGCTCTCGTTGGCAGATTTTGCAGAGAGGCTGAGCACAGTTTTGGACAGCCTGGGCTGGCACAGAGAAGGGTCTCTAGAAGGTGTTGAGATCCAGACATGGGAACTCTCCTGCTGTTTTCAGAATAGGGGATTTTAATCTTCCAGAGGCAATGAGGTGAGGGATTTTCCAATAAAATTTTTTCTTTTTTAATTAAACACAGAATGGGCAGATACACTTTTAGAGTCTGGCCTGATGCCTGTGAAAATACACATTTTGTTTAGGTACTGCCCTGCCTCTGTAGTGTTTTCCTCTCTTCTTTTCTAATTGACACCATATAAACTCAGGAGCTGTGTTTTTAAGAGCTGCAGCAAATCCTGCTTTTTCTTCTCTGGCAGAAGTCAAAATCCTCCCCTTGTGACATCATAATTGTTCCTGCAATCACCAGCTGTGATGCCACAAAGGAAGGATTCAGCTTTACGAGGAAGGAAGGAGAATAAACAGCTGGAATATATAAACTGTTTCAGTAACACACATCCTATTTTGTAATGTTAATAGTACAAGTGTAAGAGTGTGAGAAGAGAAAAAGCAGTACAAGGCATACTGAAAAAATGGGATTTAGAAGAAGAAATGTCTCTGAGTAATGGATGCGTGTCCCTGCTAAATTTGTTCTGGCAATGCAGAACTGACTTAAAAGCCCCTGTCATTATCCCTGTGTGCATAGAGATTTCAAAACAGGGCGGAGCCAGCACAGCCCTGGGAGGAAGGCTTGGAGTTAAAGAGAGACGTGCTAAAATTGCCAGCCACTCTGGAGACCCCAGTTAGCACAGCAGCTATTGCGACCACAGAAACTTGCATCCTTCTTTACAGACTCCCACACCTCCAGCTACATTTGATGTCTGTCTCAAAATTGTTTTCAGAGTCTTAATGAAGCACATGAGGATCTTTGAGGCTTTCTGGAAATGAAAACAGTGATGTCATCTCCTCTGAACAGACCTGAGGCAACTTGACAGAATAGATTGGATAAATATATGGAAGAACTTATTTAGCAACATTCTACAAATACAGATGAATTAATCATTAGAGCTGGTGCTTTCAGATTTCCCAGAGAACAGATTTTCATGAGTTTTCCTCTATTCCTTCAAAAGATGACTCTATCTAATGCATGCAATGAAACTAAGTATTCCAGTCTAGATTTGCCATGTTAAATTTCTGAATGTCATCAAAACATCTTTTTAGTTCCAGAAATCTTCATAACAACATTCTTAGGTATATGATTTATGATGTCAGACTCCTACAGTTACACAAAGCAAATGCTATGCAAAGACACAGAGTTCAAATTTCAAAATCATGTGTGCTGCGCTTTGAAGCTAAATTGTTAAAAGTATAAAAAAACCCCAGAAAATAATAATGTTCTTTCTTACATGTTATATATGGGAAATTCAGGTCAGATATTTTCTAAAACTATTATTACAAAAAAAAACCTTTATCTGGTGTGCATTATTTTAATGCAAACAAATATATTACAGGCAGCCCTACCTTTGCCCTCCACATCAGCCATAGCTTGAAGACATCAACATGCCGTCCACATTGCAAAGCTTTGTCTCCTGTGTCGTAAGACAGGTCATAGTGCTTGTCTTGTTGAAAGAGGTAGGAAGCGTGCATTTGATTGCAACTCTGCATCAGCCCCTTACAGAAACACAGACACAAAAAAGTAATGTTCGCACCAATATGACTTCTGTTTCGAGGGTTGCTCTGGGCAAGTGGCTGCACAACAGAAATTACAAGCACCCAAATTCAGTGGAATAAGTGCAAAAGAAAGATTAGGAAAAAAAAAGGGACAAAACCAGACATAGCTGCTCAACGGGTCAAATTTTTCATATCTCATCTATTGCCCACGACATGTTGGTATCTGACCCAGCAATGCATAATCCACTCCCAGTGCCCAGGCACTTATTAAAAATCAGCTGGACACCATGCTTCCTAGCACCACTATTCACAAGTTCATTTTTGGATCCCATTTTTCATTCCTTGTTCTGGTTCCTTTCCTTCCCTTCCTTGGAAGGCTGCTTCTCTGGTTGAGTCTGATTAAGCCAATTTGGTGACTAATCTAAATAATATCATGCCACTTTTCTAATTGCTTTGGTCTCTGAAATACTGATTTTCATTGTTTTCTTTCTCTGTAGACACAACTCTTCTGTAAAGCCATCAGCTGCAGATTGGATGCTTAAGTGGTATAGAAAGCTTTGAACAGACAGAAGAGCATATGGCCTTTAAACAGCCAGCTAGAGCTATTTCTGAGCTACAAGATACCATTTTGAGAGGCAGCTTTGTGGGAGGGCCAGAAGCCAACCAGGTGAAAAATCTGGCTCATGAAAGCATGAGATTTCCTTTTTAGCTTTTTAAGTGAAATGTAGAGAGTCATGTTCTGGCTCTAGTTAAATCCTCAACCAAGTTTAAGGTATACCTTACGGCTGTTGCCTGAAACTGCAATTTCTAGTCCAAGAAGAATCAAAACTTGGCTGTTTATCATAAAGTTTAATCTTTATGTGTAACTCAAAACTGAGACAGGAAAATGAGAGGGGGGGAAGAATTGGCTTTCTCCTAATCTGAGCCATCTGTTCTCACTAGAGGTCAAGGGTGGTACTGACTTCAACCAGGCAGGATTTGTCTCGGTGAACTGACCCAGAGGGCACATAAATGCCAGCTTCTCTCTTCCTAAGTGCAATCACTTTGTATCCAATCTGTTGCACAGCTGTTAGCAAAACAGCAACCAGCTTTTTGATAGCTGGTCTAGAAAGTGGTGGTTGTATAGCAGCTGTTCCAGTAACTACTAGTTATATGAAAATTACAGGCTGGAAGGGTAATTCAAATTCTAGTACTAAATGAAATGTCTACTTTTTATTCCAAGTGAACTTAGTCTTCCCTTTTTATTTCCATGTCCCTCAAAGTGGATATATGGTTCAGAGCTGCTATCTATCATAGAAGTCTAGGAAGTGTAATGATGCCTAGATTCTGGACCAAATGTCATGCTGCATGTATATCATACCACTCATCCTAAGAGGACTTGAGTTTCCCTAAAGTTACATTTTATGCTACACAGAAACTAGTGCGGTGACCCAGCTATGCACCCACGACTTAACTTTGGACATTTTGAATGGAAAACAACAAAATTCGGTGGAGACATTGCTATTAATTGGATCTATCAGTTCTGCTAGACAGCTGCTTTAATTCCTCTTGTAGCCACAGCCTGAGCACATAACTAGAGGTCTTCTTCTCAGTTTCATTTATAATCCTCATCACATTAGCAAATATTAGCTATGACACAGTTATGAAGAAAGCATCCAAGATTTCCAGAAGCAAAATGTCAGCGAGGATTGGAAAAGTGAGTATATTAGGACATACCTCTTCTCTTACTAGCAGGGCTGAACACTGCAGCGGGACGCCCATCATCTTGTGAGGGTTCCAGGTCACCGAATTGGCCCTGGGACAACAAACCACATGAAACTCAGACATGCTACTATGGTGGTGAAACCATGGAGAAATTTAGTAATAATAATAACAAACGTAGTAATGTGTATGTCTTTCTTTTTCTGAGCAAGCAAAGCTAAAAATAATTGTGGCAGATAATAGGAAAGCAATGCCTTCATAAGGGACCTAATCCACTCTAGCTGGTTTTTGAATGACAATTCTGGCAATTTACCACAGGGTAATTGCTCCATCCACCAAACTTAATCAGTATTAAACTTTCTGGGGAGTCATCTATAGTTCATAAACATAGGGCAAACTTCCTAAAAAGACCCGCATGACTGAAGAACTTTCTAAAGGCACACAGCTGATTAACGATGCAGATAGGAAGCTGCCAAACTAGCACATTCCCTCCCATTGATTCCAGTTTCAGTACGATTTTAGTAAGTAGTTCACACAGGCGTTTTTGAAAATTCCTTTAAACACTTCTGGGTACCTCTAAGTCTCTGAATAACTTGGAAAACCAGGCCCAAAGTAATTTTTCTCATTGCTTTGCTGATGGTAAATTTTCATAGCTCCTTAATTTTAGCTTTGTTATGATAATTTACACAACTGGAGGACTGAGTCCAAAATTACCACAGTAATAAACATAGGACTGATCCACCCTTCCACAAAAGGGTCTGATCCCACCTACTTTCAGGACATATTTACTGCAAAAACAGCTGTCGGTCCCAATCTTGGGAGCAAACAGGGCACTGCCACAATACAGCTTAGAGAAGAGACATTTGGGACTGTGGCAAGGGCTGAATAGAAGACTGTCCAGTTGTTTATTATTTTAATTTTGTGTTATGCTTGACTGGCTATTTGCTAATTACTATTATTACATATGATGATTAGCTGATAGACGTATACATTTGCATCCTATTTGGCAGGCTGTCATGGATGCATAGTGCACAGAATTTCATGTAGTGCAGCAATGTGAGTTTTCATGGTATAAATCAGACAACTGGGGCATGTAAAAACTTAAAGGACCCAGAACACACTTGCAGGGAACATTTGTGTGAACAGAGGTGAGCATGCTGGAATCTGGCAGCATTTTCCTTTGATGGATTTAGAGACAGCGCTATAGGTTTATGCATCTTCTTATCATTTCCTGCCAAATTGCTTCCATTCCTTCAAAGTAAGCAACTCCAAAATTCACATGGACACTGGGCAGCACTCCTGTGCTTTCTTCTTAGTTACTTAAATGGTACTGCACAAGTGCCTGATGCAAAATCTCTAGGGAACAGTCTTCCACAGGCAACATCTGGCCACTTGGCTTGGCTTTTCAAGTATTTGGCAGCTCAGAGTCAGTAATCTGACTACAAAACCAAAGCTAATGATTCTGAACAAGCATTCAGGTCTATGAATTTCCTTTGATACAATACTTTTAAATTTCTATCTGTGTCTTTGCAGAATCAGGCAGAAATTCCTTAACAGACTTCTAGATAATAGTAGTGGTATGGGTTTTCTCAAGCAAAAGAATTATTTACTGACAACAGCCAGATGTTAATTATCCATCTAAAACATTTAATTTACCTTAAGGTAATTTATTTTCCCAATTATATCCCAATTGCAAACAGAAAAAAATTGATTACGTAAAATAAAATTCCACTATTTTTCATTTGTTATCAGTTATTCTGGGCTTCAGCCATCAGTATGTGCTTAAGAAATTGCTAGCTGAGAAAAACAGTGAAGGAAAAAAGCTGCATGGATACGCAGATGTTTTTTTAAAGCATCTCACATTTGCCCAAATACCTGAGCACCAAGCACCTATGTAATTTTTTGGCTGTGGGTCACAGATAGAAAAAAACAAAGGAAAAATTTTCCGTTAGGGATTTCAAATGGATTAAAGGAGAGTTTCAAGACTGGCAGAGTTTGGACCTCAGTCATCATTAAAAACAGAGGTGTATTCACTGACCCGCCACAGCCCTGGGAAGGATGCCCAGGCCCTATCAAACATGAGTACCAGCTCCAGTTCCCTTCTGTCCAGACTTTTAATGACTGGGTTGTACTCAAATATCTACCATAAAACAGGAATGTCCATAAAAGCTGGATCTAGTAAGTCTGCTCTAAAGGTGCACACATTTTAGAACTGTAATAAGCCACTGTCTTCGTCAAATAGTGGAACTGCACTGGAAATGACAAATTTCATTAATTCATTGCCAAACATATACAGATGGTGCTTATCAAAGCACTAGATAAAATCCAGTAGAGTTCTGGATCTAAAACACATTTTTAGGAAAATTATCCAATATAGATTCAACCTGAACTTCTGATTCCAGCAGAATTTGCACAGCAATCTGGGAGGCAAACTCTTTTTTTCCCTACTCTGTCCTCACAGACAAATTGGTAGATTTTTCTAACTTACCAGATATTTGGATGTATGTCCTTTTAATGCACAATACGTAAGGTTGGAGTGCTGGAGGCAGTCTTAACTAAAACAAATTCATAGAGCTATTGGCTTCTTGTCAAATTTTGCATGTGAGATGTATGAGAAAGGAACTGAATCATCAAGGTATCCTCCTAATCTTCAGGAACAGGATGGGCAAGTTGTTTGTAATTTTAATTGGCAAGGGACAGCAATTTGACTTAGAGATTTAAAAAGGCAGAAGGGAGTAACAATTTACTCTCGAACAGCATGAGCTTCAGAAAATACACAAACGTGAGGGTGGCTCCATCTAGCTTAGTATACTGCCTCTAGCGAGTGGCCTAAATAGGTGCCTGGGAAGAATACTAAACAGAGCAAGCATACATGGCTAGTCTCTGAGCTCCCAGGCATTTGTGGTTTGCTGTCCCAAATGGTTTTTTGTTTGTCTTCCCTTGAATGCAGGTAGAACTTAATATTCTATGGCAAGGAGTCCCACAGCTTAACTAAAAGTTTTTGAATAAGCAGCTCTTTGTAAGTTTAAGCTCAGTCTTTCCAGCCTCTGAACTGGACTGGCATCACTGATGTTCAACTGTGTGTACGTGCAGTGTTCGTCAGCTCATGACTACAACTGTGCATACCCAAGCACAGACTTCCTGAGAAGCCATCATTAACCCAGCCCGGAGGGGAGGGTATTCTCTCCAGAGGTGAGAGAGCAGTGGTCAGTGATGCCAGGACACCTGTACAAAATGCAGGTGCATCCACCTTCTATACCTAGAATTTAGCGTGCAAGACCTCGATGATTAATTGCTTAGAGAAATGCAATTGCTAACTCTTGTTGGATGCTGTATCACAGGATGCTGTAGAAACCACTCTGGAGCTGCAAACAGATGTTGGAAAGAATGAAAGACAAGAAATGTCTGCTCTTTGTACTACAAAATGAAGCGCCACACTGCTGTAGCGTTGAACAAAGGCCCTTAGCAATGCTATTTCAACTGGAATGACAGTTTCCATAATTTCTTCATACTGTATCTTGGAGATAACATTGATTTCTATTTTTATTTACAGAAATCTCTAAGGTAATCACAACTGTGTTAAAATGCATTTAATAAAAGTGTTTAATTAACATTAATAAATCATACCTTTCGACACCATTTAACTTCCATTTGTGTTTCCTTGACATCAGGAGCCCACCACCCCATGCTCCCTAGAAGGCAAGAGACATTATCTTAATGAGAACTCTACACTTCTCTGTGGTGACATCTGTGCATTCACATCAGTTTGGGGCCTTTCTTGTTTCTTGCTGATGTGGTACGTTTTGAAATCATCAGGCAGATGAGGCTTGAGGCGTTAGCTGTGCTAACAATTTTCTTCCAGTTGGCTTGGTAGCCGCAGTTTACAGCCCATAACCTGAGTGCCCACCCCTATCGTCTGCTCACCCCTCCCTTGTCACTTCCTCTGACACTGACACATTGGGCTGCCCCAAGCTCTAATTAATGATGTGCAGAGCTGCTCCTCAGTGAACTACTTTTTCTCTTTTACTGACTAAGTGATGATAATGAACCAGACTGGGATCTCAGCTGCTCTGCTGAATTTTCCTCATATTTCAGATCACTGCTGCTTGACCTCTACTCATTTGCTTTTGCCCACAGAGATCTGGGACAAGCAGGCATTTCATCTGACTAAGAAGCAGTTTAAGGCAAATATGAATTCTACCTTTGAACTGGAAAGATTTTGACTGACACAGTAATGTAAAAGCAAGACACTCAGCCCTACGGAAATTCAATTACAATGCCTTTTTGGAGAAAGGATTAGTGAAAAAATGACACAAAAGCCATTGCAGAGCTGAAAGATGATTCTTCAGAAAAATTCATTGACAAGAACTCAGATAAAGTTAAGTAGCCAATCTGATAAATTTCTCCAGCATTTGCATTAATCTGTTCAGCAATTTGAGGTACTTTACTCCAGATAAATGTAGCCTTTTCCTTGTGTATTTATTTTGCAGCTGCTGCAGAAGCTGAGCCAGTGGCCAGTATAATTCTTATGTATTTCTTGTACTATTGGCTTTTAGAGATAAAGCTGAAGGCCAAAAGCACTCAAACTAGGTCATTTCAAGTGTCCCAGTTGCTAAAAGTACCACACAATCACAGCTCTTAAATGTCCCCCTGACCTGAGCCCTTCAGAGAAATGGGAAGTCAGTGCTTGGATGTTAATTACAGGAACCAAATATGGTTTTGTAGAAGATGACACAGTCCAAAACGAATAAATGAATGCTAATACACCTTGTACTCCAACATCCCGTTCCACCCCCACCCCCACATTACATGATACTTACATCCACGTGCATCCAGATTTTGTATTTCTTGCAGATGTCTGCAATAGCTATGAGAGGATCAAACGCCCCATATACTGTTGTCCCAGCTGTGGCACTAACCAGAAAAGGAACAAACCCCTGAAAGAAAGCACGGAGGCATTTAGCAATGTTGGAGTGTCTCAGCCTCCTCAACCTGCGGCAGCCCCCACTTCTCTTGTGCTGCCTCCATATTGAGCCCAGAGGTGTCTCCTCGAGGACACACCTGCTACATCACACAGGTATTTTTCTGTTTAGATGCTACTGATATTACAATTTCTACCTTAAGGTGGCAGCAAACTTCCAAACCAGCATCCTCCATTTATTAGGATGCATAAAACAAGTAAGGGCTCAAAAAACCAATTCTGTTTCATGACCCCTGCCCGAAACAAAAAGGTCTGTTCGGCATGATGGCGTGTAAAACAAACCTCACCCGAGCAGCACAGTGCAAGAAATATCTCTGGTGGACTGGGCCCTGGGCCCAGTTACAACCACCCCAGTGAGTGTCTGAACGTGTGGACAGTGGGAGCATCTTGTCTTTTCTGGGGCTGTCTCCTGGGGGCAATGCCCAGTCTCACCTCCAGTCCCATCCCTCATGCAGAGCAGGGAGACATCAATCTCCATGGAGGCCAAGGACCATCTCTTGGATTCCCTCTGCTAATGGCTGTGCCTTACAGAGGAGCACCCACTGTCTGTCGCATGCCATGATTTATACCAGTGTTAAATTTTAAATTAAAGTAGTACTCAGAGCAACAAAGGTAAAGAGTAGCTACGGTTTTGCAGAGCTGGATTTAAACTATCAAAAAGGTCTAAACTTCCCTCTGCAAAGTGAAATACATGGTCAGTAGCATTGGGTGGTACTCTATCATCAAGTTGCCTTTCATTTTTATCTACTACATTGCTTTTCTTGACAAAGTAAACCTCTAATGAACATTTGTGTTATTAATAAGCTTTTAATGATGTGTTTCTAATGATTATTTACATGAATGTTAGTGAAGGCAGAGGCCTAAGTTTATTGCATGCTTTAATCTGATCTTTTAATTCTATTAATGAACACAATACAAAAGTAGTGCATTTTTAGAAATGTGTAGATTTTAGTTTATCTTCTGTTGTTTTGATGACTATGAGGAATATTTACAACACATTAAAATATACACAAATTACCCAAATGATTACTCAGCTTTTGCCAATATTCAGCTGAGGAACTGCATCACAGGCTGATAATACAAAAAAGGAGGATGTTATGCAGAGGAACACACAAAAAAATTCAAATAGCTCATAAAGATTATAAAGTAGCTCTAAACCTATTTTCTCAGCAACTCTTGCTACATGAATTGCCAGGTTACATTTCTGAGAAAAAAAAATCAAAAGTTAACCAGCATGCCTATGTTTTTCACCAAGGGGAAAAAAAAAAACAACAAAGCCAAAAAAACCCCCCAAACCCCTAGCTGTATCATTCTTGGGGTCTTTTTCTTTTTTTGGAAGCAGAAAAGCTAGTAAACTTACTTTTTGTTTGGCTTCAAGAATTCTTCTTTCAAGGTCTGATGGGATCATTTTCCCTCTGGAGCAAAAGAGAGTTATATTAGAAATCTGATCTTGAAATCAACTCTTGCTGTTACTTCTTCACTTAATAGGAACCCAAATAAGGAACAAAGTTACTTTTTTGCCCAAGGCTTATGCAACATTGAAAAGCAAAGCAAGACTGACTAATTGTTAGCTTGAGGTTTTACCCTAATTATCTGGTCAACTGATATGCATCAATATGGCGATGGTAGCTGAAAGAAGTTATCTCATGGCCATCCTCATAAAGGCTGATGCTGCTTCATGGAGCCTCCTGGTCTGGTTTGATGTTACAGTCCAGGGAATATGCTCCAGGCTCCCAGGTAAAGGCTCAGTCTAGGGTCCCAAAAAGCTCACAGGGTACCAAATCTCACCATCTTCTTTCAGCAGACACAAAAAATGCCAGCTGAGCTGCATGGCCTTGAGCAGAACGACTCAGTGCTAGTGTAAGCAGTCGTCTCCATGCTTCCATCTGAGGGACGAACTAATTTCAGGGCCCCTGTTCCACAGTTTGGTGCACTACATGTTTGCATTTGCTTGAAGCAGGATATGAGAAGAAGCTACCAGTCTGGACTCATTAAATGCACCATCAAACCCTTTGTATTGACTGTAGACTGCATTTGAAGCATTTACCTGAGATTCAGACTCAGTGGTATAAGGTTTGAAGGCTAATTTATGAAAACCTGTAAATGAATTAGATGCAAGATAAAACAGTGCTGATACTGAATACTGAGGTTTTCTTTCCTTTAGCCACAAGCAAGACTATCTAAGAAGAGACAGTATGCATAACTGCAATGCAAACATGACAGCTCCCCACATTAAAGGAAAAAAGTCTTCACTGACTTTGAATGCTGTCCATTTAGACTAATATTATTTTTAAAGACTTTTTCGGTTCTCAGTACGGTTGGACACATTTTTAATTTCACTAAGCACTGATTTTCTGTTGCTATTAAAAAAAGAACAACCTTTACTAAAGCTCAAAATAGTAAAATATAAAAGTGTTAGTTTTAATTTTGTTTTTGCACAAAATACCTGAAGTGCTTTCATGACACTTGGATGGATGTAAATAAAAAAATAATTATTTCTTGTAATAAGATACTGCTAGGTTTTTAAGGTTTTCATACTTACACAGTCCACAATAAGACATTAATTATTTCAATAGGTTTGTACTGCTGTGTTTTCCACAAAAATCTGTTCTGCACTTTACTTAGCCAAAACACTAAAAGAATAACTGAAAAGAAAAAGCTTTACAAATCTAAAAACTATCCCTGATTTTTCTTGCAGACGTTCAAGGTCTAAAGAGTCCTCAAGTCACTGTGAGTTCCCTGCAGTTACATGTTCAGAGAAAAGCCGTAGTTGTCTTTCCTTCAAAAACGGTTTCTGGAGGATTAGAGGAATAAAGACAAAAAACCAATAACCCCAAAGCCATGCCAAAGGAAGGCAATGAGTTCTTCCTCCAAACACAGTTTAAATGTTGGTCTTGAATGTTTCTAATTTATTGAGCTTGTGCATAGAAACACACAAAAAGCTGGGCAGATCCCTTCATTGCCAAATTTTTTTCCCAAGACAAGTGGTTATCCAGTCCCTGGTCACGTTGAGTATGTGCAGGAATTCATGGCTGGCAGATTAAGCAGCTAGAGCCACAAATAATTCAATACCTTATAATCTGACATTATCTGATATTTGGGACTCATAGTAAGAGCATTGTCTATTGAAAAGATTCACAGTAGAATCAATAAGGGCTGTTCTATTGTTTTTTGTCCCACAGGAAGTATTTTTCTCTGAAATTGCAAATCTTCAGCAGAACATGTTGATTTTGTTAATACACCTTTGTTTTCTCAAAATATGTTTTCACAGAGAAGCAAAACCTTTTAGTTGAGTGAGTTAAACAAGGAGTTATCTTCCACTGGTTTTGTAGTGCTTATGGACCTGTAGGTTAGGTGCCTGATCTGCTGCTCCTCTGCATGGGCCATCCCTTTCCCTGGCCTACACTGCCCACAGTGGTGCCATATCCCATTGGAAGGATGTCCCCATCAAGGACACTGTGGGAATGTAGTCCAGCTAAAAAGGATGGTAGGGGCATGAAGTAATAGAATTACATCAGCAAATGCACCTCAATATTTTATTCCTTTAATGGCACACTTCAGCTCGTTTTAACAGATCAAAATGTAAGCATGCCTAAATATTCCACTTTGACCAAAACAGGCTGCTGCTTCATTTCTTAGCAGAATTTGTAAAGAATGACTGTTAGTTCAACTTCTAGTTTCACTTCAGGATGAAAGAAGAAGAAATATCAAAAATCCTCGAGGACTGAGGATCAATCCTTTGATTTGGCTCAAAAACCTGACTTGTGAAGAAGCTACTGATAGAGCCAGTTCCTCAAGTGGGATAAACCAGTGTAAGGTTGCTGAAGATGCTGGCACTATGGTGAATTATGTCAACTGTTGAATGCATCCTATATGCTCTCTCTGAGCTGAGCATCCAGTGATGATCTTCTGTGTACTGACAAAAAGAGCTGTATTTGGCAGCTTTGCTTACCTTTCATCACATCTAATAAGAATCACACTATCTGTACCAATACCCAAGGCTGCAGCTCCTTTCTTCACAGAGAAGTGACTCTGAAAAAATAAATTTATTATTATTATTATTATCTAGTTTAATATAAAACATTGCTCTTGCAAGCCCTTTGGAAAGTAGTCCCACACAGGCAGTAATTCTATTTGTAGACTTTTTGGAAACTGATCTCTAACTTGGGGCTTCACATCAGGTTACTACAGTCAGTTAGAGAAACAGCAATCACTCTAGATTTACTCCTGGAATATTAAATTAGTTCTGTCCTTGATGCATACCTGCAGCTTCTATTGCTTGTGCAGATTCAGCTATGAACTTGATTCACTGAAACAAAAAAATGTCCCCTAGAGAATTCATTTAGTTCATGGCATCCAGAGTGATGTGCTTCTGCTGCGTAACTTCTGGCCAAGTAATATACTGAGAGAAATTAAGATAGGAAGCCTAATTGTGATCTCATGCCAGTGAAAGCTAGTAGTAACTCCCATTAATAAACAGAGCTACTGCAGTTTAAAATCAGAACTGGGCTATTAGTAAGCCTATTAGATAATCTGTATGTACAAAATAAGAAGTGCAAGTTATATACTGGAGTGCAAGTCAGCCTAATTTTCTCTAGCTCATATGACTTAACTCCTGAGGCAGTACTGGTTTATAATTCTGGTTTAAATCTTAGTGATTAAGATAATGAAATAGTTTTATATCAAATTATATCACTAAGAATCTGATTTTTATTAACTCAAACACATCTGTAACAATATAATCCAAAGGAATTTTAACTACAGATTATTAAACTTTTAAAAAATTGAAATTCTTTGCATATACTTCAGTACCATTAGCTCAGGATGTAACACTATTAAAAAGATCGAGAAGATAAAAATCACAGGCCTTTCTAGGTGGTGTCTGAGATGTTAAAGAAGAAGTAATTGCTATTGCTTTGTCTAGTGAGTGTTGGCTTCAATTGTGATGAGAGCAGCTGAGAGCTATAGAGGAAGAGATGGACAGGACCTTTACACACATCTGCTTCACTTAAAAGGCCATGAAGTCAGCAGGATTTCACTGCACACCTAAGGACTCTGTTCATAATGAACACTTTGAGAAATGAAAATCAATTCTAAATCACCTTTATGAAAGAGTGAGGAAGAAAAGTAGAACTGCAACACATACCTTTTACTAAGTAAAAAGAACTCTGTGTTTTAAAAAACATCACTCATGGGGTAATTTCATTAACAGTCCTAACTGCAGTGGTTAAGGTTGCATAAGAGTTTCCACTCTAAACTCCTTTTTTTCACATGCCTCTATCTCACTCTTTTGGCTGAAATGTAGGTTTTCATGATGCTCATAGAGTTTTTCAATGTTCAGACATTTTGAAGATGTTCACATTGCTCTTGGGCCATGATTCACTGACAAAACATGAACAATTTGAAAATACTTCTTCAGATGAATGATGTCTTTCATACTATATTATTTTTTCATGCAGTGACTTAGTATAGCTTTTCACCATGTGGCATGGCTGCAATATACCAACAATGTGTATTGTGCAGCCATTGACCGTCTTGTTTAGACCTAAAACTCAGTTTTTAAGGCCCTAGTACAACAAACCATCTTAGCCCCTGAATTAAGCACATTCTGAAATGTAAGCATATGCATGGTAGACTGCCTTCTGCACAAGCTGATGACCAAATGAAATGCATACCCATGTGCTTAGATGAGCAACAAGGGATTTGTGCCCGTGCTTAAGTGTTTTGTTGAATTAGTCTGAGTTCATTGCAGCTACCCTAATCAGGCTTAAGTCATCATGTAGGCTCCCTCCACAGCCTGGGGGAAACAGGCACCTCCAGGGAAGGATTCATCCAGCATGGGGGCTGTTGGTTTGGAGTGGGTGCCAAATGACATCAAGTGAGATTTCTACTCCTTCCCTACAGACCAAGCCCTCTGATATCTGCTGTGTGTGAGAGTGGAAAGTGTACAACACCTGCAGGCACCAGTGCTCCAGAAACTGGTAGGTATTTGATTGTAACACACTGTTACTCTCTAGCCTATTATAACCACAGGTTACTGGTATGCTCAAATTAGATACAGAGTTTGCCCTGCTGTGTTTCTAGCTGGAGTCAGAAGGTGCTAAGAAGTATTTACACATCAAACATCATGTGCCTGCTCATCATCACACTGGTATTTTTCATGACACTTTCTTTATTTCATGAAACTTTTGAACAAACACATTTCCACGAGCTTTATCAGGTTCACTAAAATCAGTGGATTTTTCTCAAGTGAAAATACACTGTAGATTAAGGCTTGAACTATGGTCAATCCACAAACCTCTATATGTGGAAGATATAGGAGTCTTTCCCCAGCCTTGTAGGTCTCCCTGAGCCCCACAGTGCAGCACTGCAACTTTATGTGAACAGAGTGGAGGAGAGACCATGAGGAGGCCACCAGCATCAGAAAGCTTACAAAAAATTCCTAAATTTAGGAAGATATCATTGCTTTGCAAACATTGAAACAGAGCTAGAATATTGCCAGCATAATGAGAGTTCATTGATAAGCTATATAAAGCTAGAATTGAATTTATATACTTAAAAAAAAATCTGTTCTTTATTAATGTGTTATACAAACTCATGTACATGTACTGGGCAGTGTAATATATAAATATGGGTTGAGACGTAGGAGTAAAGAGTCAGATACATATTTCACTGGATTTTGAGTCGATGACATTACACTGATGAATTTTGCTCCTTATTACACACTAGCTAAAACAGATTTACTATTGCAATTTTTTTTTCCTAATAGAAAACAGAACTATTCAAAGTGTCTTAAGAAAGAAAATACAGATTTGAAAGGTTTACTATGAGGAAGAAAATTAAGACCTAGTGCTCAAAGGCTCCCACTGGAGTATAGCCAAGCTCAGCTGCCTCATTGAGAAGTCTCACAGCACTGGGGATAAAATAAATGTAGTGCTTATAGCTTGGCTGCCTGGAGGCTTTTTACAGACTGAAGGGAATTCAGCGGTCAGGAACCAAAACAGGTTTAGGGTAAGTTGGGAAGAAATGCAGAGTTCCATGGACAGAAGAGCAAATAAAATTAGCATTTCTAAACAAACTTTGCATAAGAAATTGCTCAATTTGTGTACAGTTACAGATATATGACTGCTGTTATGTTTTTGTGTCTCAGGGTAACATCAGAGGAGTTACTCCAACTGCCTCAGAGGCTCCAAAATAGTCAGGATAAAAGTGAAAATGGAAGAAATAAAGTTTTAAGAGCAAAGAAAACTTTCCTAATTGTGATGAATATTAAACTTTGTTTCACTATTCCTGGGATAGTGCTGAAAATTTGGTTGCCTGTGTAGTAAAAAGGTAAACACAGAAAAATATAAAGGTGAAGGAGAAAGAAAGGTTTGCAGAAATAAGCCTGGTTAGATAGAACTGACAGACTGAACTGGGCTGACGGGGAAGACGGACATTAGTTGTGACTCCTTTGAGAATATGAGGGCTACAGAGTGTTTGGCCATGCAAGGAAGTGAGGTTGAATACTGTCAGTCACAATGCAGCCATGTAGGATTTATGCAGATCTGAAGTTTCAGGGTGAGAGAACCAGGGTCAAAAAGGGAGGACAGGGACAGACTGCTCAATGCCAGTCCTGAAGGAAAGCACAGGCTAGGAGAAGCCAGCAGGACTAGAGCTTCACCACTATTCTGTGCTTGCCAGGGACAGGAGGTGGGAGTGGGCTGTCACTGTGGCTTCCTCATCTCCTCCCTTCATGTGTTGCTGCACAGGACAAAAAAAATAAAGGTGATCTTGATCCAGGGAAATCTTCCCTTTGTCTAAAATTTCAAATGCCCTTAGGAGTAAGTTTGTTTGCCTGATAGCCATTTTTCCATAGTTAGCCTCATAAAGTAAACACACACTGTAAATTTATTACAGGTGCAATAATAAGTAGGCCTTTTGGAAAAAGGAAGAATTAGAATAATTAGAAACGTTATGGTGCTGAAAAGTATGGTATTGTTGTCTTAAACTAACAGTTCTCCAATATACAGATGCTTCTATTTTTATAGCTTCCTAGATTGATTGCTCATAATCTGGCATGGCTGAAGCTGTCAGGAAGAACCAACCTAACGCCATGAGCCCTAAAGGCCACGGCTGGTTTTTCAGATTGCAGTTTGTCCCTGCTCACATAAATCCAGAGTGGCACAAGCTTTGTGGAGGGAAGTCATCAGAAGTGAGTTCCCAGATGCTGAGCATGCTGAGCCATTCAGCAGCTGAAACCAATCTGAGCTCTGCAGGTTTGGTGGCTGGCACCCTGATGCTCTGCAGATCCGGACCCCCAGTCTCGCTCCATCAGCCACACGCCAGCTAAGGGGGCACACATGCTTTCCCTTCCACCTCCCCTGTCATCTGTAGGTCAGGCTACTTCGGTCTTTGTTTTAATAATCTAAAAATATGTATCTGGCCTAGGCTTGCTGTCCAGGCTCCTTCAGTAGTGGGGAAGAAAAGGTACCTCCAGAAGGTACCTCATCCCCAAGGCCTTGGCACTCACTTTAGACCAGGATGAGTTGTCTTCTGCAGATCTCACTCTCTTTTTATTTGCTATAAAAAGTGCATAGACTAACACAGATTAAATGTTTACACTTTAGGTAGTTAAAGTTAAGTGACATGAATCCTAACCTTAATGTTTCATTGCAAGCTATAGCTTCTCCTTCAATTATCTACAGAAAGAGTATACTGTGTCCCATCACATTTTAAATACACTGTAACGATATGTTTGTTTGCTATTTTTTCCTTTAGCCACTGCTATTCCATTTTTAAAGTTATTTGTTAATGTCAGGGGAGATATGAATATATTAAAGTTTCTGCACGACATCCTAATATTTCCATCTTTTGCACTTATGAAATGTGTAACTTCATACTGCTTTTCTAGTCCAGCAAGACTCACACCTTGTTTTTTTCCAGTGCAGATAGTTTTACAGCATTATCTGTGGATAAGAAACATTGCACTGAGTTCAGGAGGATCCTGTGGCTGTGTGATAGTCACAAGGTATTGACCAGATGAAGGATCAGACCCAAATGATTACTGTCTCCTTTGGGACAGGCTGCCCTAGAGCATTGCTTTTCTGAAAAATGGCTTTACTTTCATTTGAATGGAGCTACTTGAATTAAATTGCTCCTCAAATTAGACCAGTTTTTTCACTGTCACCCTCTGGCTTCAAATACTACCAAGCAATACTTTTCTGGTTATTATTCACTAGATACTGCAAAGATAGAATGTGTGAAACCTTGAGGATGATTTTTAGTTTTCTTACAAGAAAACAAAAACACTCCTTACTTACTCTGTATGCTTAAAAGGATAACTTACAGCTTCATAATTTATGCCACCAAATGGAAAACATGATCTCCAGCCTCCTCAAACCTGGGAGCCTCACCACACAGGTCACCCCTTGGACTGCTTCTGGCAGGTGCTAGTCCTGGAAACTGCCTCCTAAGTAGCCTGGTTAGAAGGCAATGGTACGTGCCACAAAGTGTGGGGCTAGAGATCAGCTTTTCATTCTGCACAGAAACCAAACCAAACTCTTCCATAGGCTCTGTGTAATGGATGTTTGTCGAGCTGTCTGCTTTGAGACAGAAGTTACTTTTTAATTTCCTTCAGTCTCAGAGCCAAGAATCTTCATTTTAGATTTCAGAAACCGTTCAGACAAAAAAATTGCCAAAGCCACTCTTCTCGCACAGCTTTGATGTAGTTTGCTGTATTCTCTGCAAGCAATGAGGCTTGCCCATGAAGGGAAATCAGCTTGCAAGAAGCTGAAGCAATGGCTTATTGTAAACTGCCTCCTCTGATCAGAGCACTGGAACAGGCTGCCCAGAGAGGTTGTGGAGTCTCCTTCTCTAGAGACATTCAGAACCCGCCTGGATGTGTTCCTGTGTGACCTAGTCTAGGTGATCCTGCTCTGGCAGGGGGGGTGGACTGGATGATCTTTCAAGGTCCTTCCCAACTCCTAGTATTCTGTGATTCTGTGAATTGATGTGTGGATGCTGTGTGTGCTATGGCTATGAGGATGCTCCCCTACCACTGCAGACAAGCCTCTCACAGACCCTCCCAGTGCTCCTTCAGAGAACAAGGTCCCTCTGAGTCTGTCCAGGTGTCCACAATGCTGACATGCTATACCTGGGCTGCCAACAGACCCTCCCTTCACAGTCAGTGTCTGCTGGAGCTGTAGTCCCAGCAAAGTCTGGGGCAGGAGCTGCTTCACCGCGAGAGCTGTGCAGATGTGGGGATGCCAGTGGCAGAGACACCCTCTCTGTGCTCCCCTGGCCTTCTAACTGGGTGAACTGCCAGTTCTTACTCTGCTGTTTCTCTTCCACAACTAAGACTGGAATTGTATCGCTGTTTCCCTGGTGAGCACCTGACAAGGTGCTCCTCCTTGCATTGGCTGCTAGAGGTGGAGTGGGAAATTAGGAAACCTGATGTGGACTACATAAGCAAAGTCTTGCTGGGTTGGGGAACAGCAGAAATGAAGAAATTTCTGTCTTTCCAATTATGCCCAGCTTTTTGCATTCCCTAAACTGTGGAGTCTGTATAGGCCCCAATTAAACATAGAGTCCATAGAGCTGCAAGCCTCTTCAGCTCTTTCTGTACTATCAAATAAAAAGGCCAAAGACTGTTTCATAACCTGAACCCAACTAGTTCTCTACAGCTAAACTTCTCCCCTTTACACCCCTTTCCTCCTCAAAGTACAATGACTTTGTCCTTTTTGCGTGTCAGGGGTTATCCCTGCTCCATTCTATTCCCAGCTATTGCTTGATGCTGCCTAAGAGAGTGCTAGCTGGCCAGGTCAAAATCACAACAGACAATGGGTTAAAATTAAATAGGACTTGACTTATAGACCAATGGATCAATTAAAACATTCTCAGAAGACAGCTCTCCCTCTCAGCCACTTTCTCCATACTGAAAAAAGGATGTGCTCAGCTGAACTCACAGCAGCCTAAAGCTGATGCATTGGTACACAGGAGGAAGCATTCATCTTAGATTTTTCATTGTGTTTGAAACGATAGACTAAAATAGGTTTTTACAACTGGCATCCATCATTTTTACCCTTCTGAGTCAAGGTCTCTTGCACTGTGCTGCCCTGAAGGGCATCACTCTGCTCCTGTACCAGTGCAGATAAAAAAACCACTGTTGATGCACCAGTGAATACCATGGATTGAACTAAGTCCTGAGCAAGTGTATCTTAGTGAAATTATGCCTGGGCCAAGACCGACCTAAGCAGTGTAGTGTACTTCACCATCACTGGTGAAACAGGAATAAACAGAAGCAGAGTGAGAAATAAGTAATGGTTCTACCGAACAGCTCGGGGAAGATCTGCTTACTGGGAATGTGCACAGTTGGAATAATCATGTAACCTATTTTAGGCATCTAAAGTAGGTTGCATATGTTCAGGAGGCTGATCTCTGTGTATGGTCAATGCAGAGAAGTAGATGAACTCCTCCCAAAGGTGATTTAGAACACCTAAAGTAAGGAATATTTAGGTTCCTAATTTGGATGCTTCGAGTTTCCCTCCAGAGGTGCCTCTCTCCACTGATTGTACAGAGAGTGAGGATTCTAATTTAAGAACATGACGCACTCCTAACTTAGGACCTGTGAATCACTTCTCCTTTCCCTTCCCCCCCACTGGCAGCTGAACCTATCATGGCATCAGACGGAGTCCAGATTCTGATTACAGTAACACTGGTCGCAATTGTGGAGTAACTTCATTAATTTATAGTAATGGTAGATCTAGATTGGTAGAAATGAAAATAAAAGTCTGGTCTGTAACACTGAAATTCTTTCTGAGAATTGCTGATATTGGAATATTTGCTTCTGACTGAAAATGTCAAGACAAAAGTCTCCAAGCTCCTAAGCACATCCAATAACTTTAAGCTTTGCTTACTATCATGCCACATGTGCAGAGTATGGGGAAATTATAGTATCTCATTAACAACACTGTTTGTTCCATGGTGATCATCTTACACGAGCACCCAACTGTGACAGAGAGAAATTAGAATCAGACTTGGGAGTCTAAAAGTAAGTAGAAGATCAGCATGATATGCTAAATCAGACAAATGACATTCTTGTATCTTAGTGTCTATTCAGGTTCTGCATGACATTTCCTACCTAAAAAGGGACTGTACTTCTGAGACTCTGCAATTCATGTAACAGCCTCTGCTATTTCGAGGGTTAAACCCGTATCCCACATCCTTTGGGCAATTAAGGGTTAAAGAGTCCTGTCTTCACTTAAGTGTGGTTTCTTAACTTCCCTAGAAGATGTGCCATTACATACTTTATAAAAAAACTTGATTGAGGATGGGACAAAAATTGCAATTTCAAGACACTTCTAAAATGTAACAGGTTTCAGATGCTGCTCTATGGATTTGCTAGTATATTTGATTTTGGAATATTTAATTTGCTAAGGGAACTGCTTCTTCCCTGGCATGAAAACACAATTATTAAAGCTCATTTTATTATTTTGAGACTGATAGCACAATTTGGTTCATTGTTTAACATTCTAATGCTATGAATAAAATGAAATTCTCTAATGATTAATAGGATTTTTTATTTTAAATAATCATGCTCAACCTTATTTGCAAGACTTATTAGGTCTGTAACTTCCATATGAATAATGCATTTATAGCTGTACAGCCAACTTTGGAGAGTTGCTACTCATATGTAGAACATCCTTCTCTCTGATTGTTTTGTGGGGGACTATTTTGCAACATGGAGCCCACAGCTGTGTATTGCATCTCATCCTATTGCCACGAAAGGCATCCTCAGAGGGATTTCCTCCCAGACATTTCTGATCAGTTTTTAGGACACTTTGCTCTTTGCACTTGCACAGAATGGAAACACATTCTCTGGAAAGTCAAAAAAGGCAGCCAGAAGGATGTCGTCACCTAACATGGACGGCATCTTGCTGCGCCCCGGTCATGAAAGAATCCTTTCTGGCCAAGACTACACACCTGGAGAGAAATTAGAAGGTGACCATGAAGCCCAAAGAGAGTTCACAACCCCTCCTGGGTATAACCCTTCCCTTTTCCCTTCCTTCTGCACATGCATTCTCCACTATAAGCTGCAAGAAGGTTTAAATGGCCATAAACCCAGAACACCCCCCACGATATAGACAGAAATATGACTTCTGTATGGTTGTTCAAAGAGCAAAACACACTCTGTTTCTCCCATAAGGGCCACTCCGATTCCTCCTGTGCCACCCTCCCCTCACCCCTTGCACTGCCAGATCCCTTACAGACCCCCTCACTAAATAACGGCAGCTTCTGGTTTCAGCCAGAAACATTTCGATTCACAGTGATTTTCTGTAACCTCAGAGTGACCTGAACAAAAGACACTCCTGGCAGAAAGGCAAAAGCCCAATGCTAAGCTCCCACCCTTACCATTCAATTTGACATTTATACAGACACAAGCGAGCAAAAAAACCAGCAGTGGTTTGTAGATTCTGCTCTCCCTGGGTTTCAGCTACAGAAAAAGTTGGTTTTCAGCAAAGCTCAGCCCTGTATGTATCAAACACCCACCCACTTCCCATTTTATTATTCCCAGTGAAGGAATACCAGAAATGAAGACAGTTGGATACAGATTGCCATTGACTTATTCTCTTCATATAATCACACAAGCAGAAGTAACAGATAGCAAAAAACAGAAAGACATACATGTTCTGATGTGAAGGCAACCAGTCTGGGAATAGCTGCCATTCCTTTTTCTTTAACTTCTGGGAACATCTTGAAACGTGCAATCAACATAGCATACATGTTAGATATGGCACCACCTGGAGTCCACAGTAATATACTGTTACTTTTTCTATGCATTGCAATATTATTGCAGAACAAATGACAAGTCTTGCTACAGTTTTTCTAATTCTAATGTTAATGTTTCTGCCTAATGGCAGGTTCTTCTTCCTACTGCTGGGTTGTGTAATAACAGGATCTACTACACCCAAATAACAATTTATGCAAAAAGTACTACTGCAAAAAATGATGGGGGTTTTCTTTACTCCTCATTTTTGTTACCATTTCTCCTTTAGTCCCCAGTCTTAATTTTCCATATGCCATCAACACATAATCCCCACTCTGTTCCACCTCCCAAGCAGATGCCACCACAAGGCAATTTCCTAAGTGACTTCCAAATGTCACTTTTAAGCTGTGCTCTCCCTTCCCAAATTAGGGTAGTGCTTCATGCCCCAGCTCTGAGGAAACCCACATTGTGTCCCAACAGACACTATCTTCTGGATAACTGGACTAAGGGGAGGGTAGAGGAAGGAAAAAGGGTAATTAAACAACTCTTTTTCTTTTTATTTGTCCTCTGATGGGTAAAAGGGGAAAAGGTTAGATGTCTCTAACACTAGCCTTAAAATTATTGGCATTCATTTACTTAAAATGCCCACTTCAGTATGGCTATCTTACCTACTTCAAGATGGGTTTCAGATGATGACTCTACAGTATTCTGTTCCCGTATTTCAATTATCAATGCATAAATTAAAATAAGCCCTTCATTTTTTGTTTTTGAGATTTCTACAAACTAAGCCTCTGTGTCTACAGCTGAACAATGTTTGGTTATACATTAATGCTGCATGAGCACTATGGGAATATAATGCAGAACCTGAGGCAGAGTCTGAGTACTTTTATGTATGTATGCACACACAAACACATACACACAAAGAGACATATACATAAAATCCATCAGTGTTATCCTGTATATATATATACTATTTATATATATACAGATTAGTTATATAGCAATGTTTATGCACATATATTTATATAAAGCAAAGGCATATATTGATCGTGGTTTTAGGATTTTAAATGAATAGATCAGAGTGCACCTGAGGTAGAGTTCAGCTAACCCAACTTTCATCCATCTAAAAATGGAGTGAAGAGCACAAGACAGGCACTTTCAGAAGATAATTCAGCTCATCCTAAGGCAGCTGCTTGTGGCAGGTGGGATGACTTGCCCTGCAAACGCAGCCATCCATCTCCCTTGAATATAACTAGCCCAGAGTAGACACCCAATGCTTGGACAGCCAAAGTGAGACAAGATAAAATCCACCCTTTAAGCAGATCAAGGTAGCTCTGCTGAAAGCAGCGACCTTACACCATGTTACACCAGCAGGATGTATGTGCTGCCAAATTTAACACTGTTTTGACTTTTGTAAGATTTGTATTTATTCCACTGGAGATATATACACTGTCCCACAGCCCACAGAAGCTGTGCTCTTCATTTCTAATCAGTGTCCCAGCTCTGCTCTGGCAGTGAGGCTGTCCCTGCTCTGGGCTTTCTCTGACCTCACTGCCCGTCCTGTGAAACCCAGGGGAAATGCCAGTAAGGGATGGCACCGCTGGTATGGGGGGTCAGCACAGACCGGACTTTTTCTTCCCCTTTCAACTGTCTTGAGAAATATGAACATATCTCTACACCTCTTTTCACAAATGACAAAACAAGAAATGGAGAGATTAAGAGGAAATGTTTGGGTATCTGTCCCTAAAAAATTCAGATGTCATGTAATAGCTGCTGTTGATGATCTATGTGACTGAACTATGGTGTCCAAGGTGAAGAAATTTGACCTATCTCGTCCAGAGTCATTGGCTCAGTGTCAAAAGAGTCAAGACTGAAATGTTAAGTTTCTTCAGTACCAGGCTTTCCTATTAGTATTTATTACCTAGCGGTTTAACCTCAAGCTTATTAATAAGCCCAGATTCTGCCTTTAATTTTGCAGCTGTGTTTATACCAACAGTTAATTGCAGGCAACAAGACACACCTACGGAATTTGGAGAACCTCATCAGGCCTTTATGTTTTGCAAGTATGGATACTGTATATTTCATTTCAGGCAAGGCAGAGAGCAAGAATCTTTTCTTTGCAACAGGAAGGTCTTCAGCTGAAGCTGTCACAGTTTGAAATGAGAAGACAGCATAGAGATGATTTTGATTATTGGCTAAAAAAGAAGAACCTGCACACTGGGTATTGCTGCCTTAAGAGAGTGAATTATAAAGATCCACTTTGCATAGAAATTGCAGAGAAAGAAGGGATGAGAGGAGGCAGTACTGCAAACGGCCAGAGAGCACATACCCAGGCAGGTTTCAGCTAGATGAACTGAGCTCCAGCATCTGACACACTCCCAACATCCTGGCCCCCTAGGCCAGGCAGAGACCTCTGGCAGAGGTGGAAGGGACAGCAGTTCCTCCTGAGGCATTCAACACTCCTAACTCGCACTGTCTCAAGCACAGTGTGTCAGATTTGGGAAGATCTGGCACTTGCATTGAGTCTTTCACCCACACCACCACCAATGCCCAGCCTCTGCCTCACCAGGTCTGGTTGATCAGTGTTGCTGTTGTTCTTCTCTCCCCTCTTAGGTCCCTGACCAGCCTGGTGGGGCTACTGCGGCTCAAGCCTGCAAGGGGAGGAACTGAAGACCAGCTCTATTGCGTCAGGCAAGGGACCAGACAGTACCAACCACAGTCCAGTTTCCAAAAACTCTGACTTAGATCCTGGGCTTGTGATACACATTTAAATGCTGCCCTGTGTGAAGGAGGTCATGGTTTTGGTCAGGTTCTCTAGGCGCTACAGTAAAAGTTGTCAGAGCTTTTGCTCTCAGCGCTTTTTAAAGGACTCAACAAGAAGTCATGTGAATTCTTCTCATCTTTTTCTCCACCTCTGTGGAAAGGCCAAGGACAAAACTCCTGCACCACTTCCCACATGTGCATTCAGATGTGAGAAGCTGAAGATGAGCCTTTCCTGATCTTCTGTATAGTATGAACTTTACCCTTTACACCCTTGGAGAGCTGAACATCCTAAGCTGTTGTCAGTGAGGCTTTTTCTTTGCTCCAAACACACTTTCCCTCGCCATTAGGTCAATGAACTTTCTTCCCAGAAGGGCTCCTTCCCCACCAGCTATCAGTCTGTTCTCCTTTGACAAGCCAAGATGCTATGCTCAATGTAAATTTTTTCTTTTTTTTTTCAACTTGGTGAGATAGGTGGGTCAAAATTTTTAGCAGTGAAATTCCAGAGTAAGATAGGAGGTGACAAAGAGCATAAATCAAAAGACTAAGTGGAATGATGAAAAAAAAAGTCTTAACAATGCTATATTTGTCAGAGTCAACTATTTCTCTACAGTTAATCATGCTCATTTTTTGCCTTATTGACTTGCCCTGAAGGAACCGGGTTTCTGAGCCTTTAAGTACTCAGATTAACTATCCACCCAAGTGCCCCCACTGAGCAAAACAGGCCAGCTCAAACATGGAAAGCTAACTGCATACTGTCATGTTGGTAGGATCTTACTGACTCCACTAAAATTACCTAATGGGATGCTATGTCTTTCCCTCTTGGTTCCAATTTCCCCTAAGGTGATGGAAAGCATCATTGTGTGTTTCTTCCCTCCATTATTAATACAATGCTCTTTCTATTTAATGTAATCCATAAAAAGTGGGGGCAAAGTGAAGCTGCAGGACAAATGTCTCTTCTGATTATGTTTCCCATGTGCCATTACAGCTGCTTATAATGCAGTGCAATTTGCTCAAATAAACCCTCATAATTGCATCCCTAAAATTCACAAACATGCAATCCTTTATCTCAAAGAGGCCACTGGTGGTTACTAGCAAGTGTCTTCTTGAACATGCATATTTAATTATGTTTACTCTTTAACTACAGGGGATGTCATATAGCACAGTCTGAAAAATAAAGAAAGCTTGAAATATCATGTACCAGGTGAAAATATCCCATCGCCACAGCCCCCTGGCCAGCCAACCATCTCTCTCATTTTCCTTAGTGTGACATATTCCAAAAGTACAAACACTGGAGCAATTTCATAGGTGAACCTGAAATGTAGTAATGTCCACATTTAATGCTTTCATCTACAACACTAACACATCTTTTTCCAATATTACATTACATTATAGCCACAATACATTTAATCTTGCGCTGGGCAGAGTTCTGTTTTACAGTACTTTTGATAATCTTCCTTCCGATTTGACATCGAATGTCAAGAAGGAAAAATGCTGAGAGTGCTTGAGACTCCATTTCCACCTGTGTCGGTGGAACAAATCTTTTCCAGGCTCAGGGCTTTGCCTTCTATTCAAGAGCTGCTGGGCAGAGCCAGATCTTTGTCTGCCAAAAACCTGTGTGCATGTCTAGAAGCATCCATGTCAACAGTCCTGCTCATGACGACAAGACAGTGCATGAAGCTAAGCAAATGCACAAAAATGCTTCCTAGTCGAAAAGTGAAAAAACCCCACCAAACACTTTAAATTCCTTCTTACAGAAAGCAATGGCTCTAACTGCTCTGCGTATGGATTGTCGACATCCCCTCTACATGAATGCAACTGTTCACTTAGCACATCTTCCATTTTACATATTTATGCATGCAGAATGCTAAAATATTTTTTCTGTATGTTTTTGGGAGGTAGCAAAACCAACATCATATTCATATGATGGAATTTTATAGAAGACAGCCTAGAGGACAATGCTGAAAGTCTTCATGTAAATAGCTGTAACAACCATTTAAAAAGCAGACAATTGTTTTTCCAGCAACCTTAACACAAAAGCATTCTTTGTTTGATTCAGCTACAGCAGCTAATATTTTAGAGTATAACTGTAAAATTATATTAAATACTATTATGGAAAAAAATCTGCTACTTACATATTAGTATTTGCTGCTGATGTCAGCCAGTCTGCTGCCAATCCAACCATGTCCAATCCAGTTGAAAGTTGATTAAAATATCTAGGGTGCCCTGCATAAGATGGAAAATGTTATCAAAAGGCTGATGGCTCTTAATGAAACTATTCAGTGCTGAACAGTATATTTACCTCTGGATTTCTATAGAGAAGGAAGTGCTTTCAAGGTACAAAACAAAGCAAACAGCAATAAATACATTTCTTGGAAAAGGCAGAATTTATCTGCATTCCCATTCCAAACTAAGTAAAATCAGAGTAATTACACTGAACGCAGAATAATGAATTCCAACATTCCCTATTATCCTCTCAATATGCTTTGAAAATTAGCACATCGCTGCCTCACAAAAATAGCTGTTTGCTCCCGTTAGTGTGTCACATGTTGTCACTGGATGTGTTTTTGCCTGGCTAGGTTTGAAAGCCACGCACGAGACACCATCTGAAGAGCTTGCCAGTACATATAACATCAGTGATGAATGGCTAATGATTATAATAGACAGGGCGAAATGAGAAAATGGAGCATTTTGGTGACTGTTTTGCACATGACTCAAAGGCTGATGATTGTATGAAGATGGCAGGGAAGGTGGCGGTCCTTGTCATTTCTTCCCTGTCAGAGTGCAATTACAAATAGCCTGGCTGCTCGCAATTGTGATTTTAAACAAATCTCGTGAAAAACAGCACTGCTGCTCCAGCAGAATGATTCACAATGAGTCCGTTTACCTGGTAAATCTAATTGGCTCCTGATCTTTTTCTAGAATCCTGTTGGAGATTTTTCTTAAAAACATGCCTAAAGCCAGTAAACCCGGGAACCATCAAAACTCAGTTTTTAGTAGTTGCTTCCTGCAAGCCCCTGTTAAGTGGCATAATTACTGGTGCAAATTATGGACGGTTCACAACTAAATGCTGTTCGACTGAAAGAACAGCAGTCTCTGCTTGGAAAACACCTGCCCTGACCCACAGATGATGTACTGCTATTGCCATCGCAAAAACCAAAAGATAGAGCAAGATGATGGAGGAAATGCAGAGCCACCATCAACAGAAAACTTATCTTTGGTCTCCAGTGGCCCCTTATCAGGCACAAACACATGGTTGGCAGAACCGCGCAGGGAATTGCTCCCTGGCTCTTACCCTGCACACACAAAGGCAGAGCAATTGGGCTGTGTGGACAGACCAAAGCAGGGGATAAGGGCTGGAGGGGGGGGCAACACACACAAAATCCAGCTCCCTGCACCCTTAAACTGAGATGTGTCCATGCTGCTGCCATCCAGCCTGACTGAGTTTTACACAGAGCCCTCCCCACCTCCCACCTTCCCTGGTGCACACTGCCCAGGACAGGTGGCCAAACCCCCTCAGGTGCTAAGGGGGGGCACTGCCATGCCCTACATGCTCTCGAATGGGGCACACACACATACTCTGTCATTGATGCCAAAGCCACAGCGATCACATACCAGGGGCTCTGCCTGCAGAGGACAGCATCTCCCCCGACAATGGGATTTTATCTCTGACAGAGAATTTGATATTTATAGCTCAGGTTCAATCTCACAGCCAGGCTCCAAGCAGATTCCCAAATTCAACCAGAAAGCAACAGAGTATCAGGAGCTGGAAGCCTTTGGTGAATCTGGACCACAGGAAGGCTAAAAGAAGCCAGAAAAACTCCTGCTTTGGAAAGAAATCCACACTGAAAAGCTGGGGAATAGCAGAACTCATATTTGCAGCTGCAGTGTCTCAGCAGCTCTCAGTCAGCCCCTTACCCAGCCCCAGGCGACAGCCCTGTTGTCACTGCTCGTTTCTTCAAGGAAACCCCACAGTCACCTCCTTCTTTGGGAACCACAGGCCCTGCTGCACACAGGGGTCGGGGCAGCCATACCCTAGAGCCAGCATTGTGCCCCTACAGAGACACTACTACAGGGAGAGCAGGAGCTGCTGCTGCTGCTGGCATGGCTTCTGGCAGAGCCCCCAGTGCGCACACCTGTAACAAGGGCCCCTCCACTCTGTGCCCTTCCCTTCTGCAATGTGGCTTTAACACGAAATGGCAGAAAATGTCATGTCCCACCCTGACCCCAACCTCAGCTGCAAGGGTCTGTCCATCCATTCACAACTGAGCTCTCATCCCTCAGCTAGAAGGCCACAGAAAATTGTGGCTTTGCTTAAAGGATAGGCTGCAATGGCCAGGTAAGAAGAGTTTGGGAGAGATGCTCAAAAATCACTACCCAGAAGCCATATGTCTGAAATGCACATCCTTTGTCACGGTTGTCACCAAACAAAGAGGTGACTGGAAAATAGACTGACGGGGTGCAAGGGGAGTGGGGGGGAGATGTGAAAATCGGAGATTACTGCTTATTGGTTGGTTTAGCAATATACAACATATTTATGCATATGCCAGAGCAAATAGGGAGATGATGGGCAAGAGCCGGGGCTGATATGTCTGAAATGCACATCCTTTGTCACGGTTGTCACCAAACAAAGAGGTGACTGGAAAATAGACTGACGGGGTGCAAGGGGAGTGGGGGGGAGATGTGAAAATCGGAGATTACTGCTTATTGGTTGGTTTAGCAATATACAACATATTTATGCATATGCCAGAGCAAATAGGGAGATGACGGGCAAGAGCCGGGGCTGAGGCACGGAGATGGCCAGGAACAGGCTTCCCCTGCCGTGAATGTCCCTTTGCCCCACATACCCTCCTCTCAAACACGCTTCTGCTTGCACTTGGTTTTAGGTGCAGATGTCCCCTAGCATCAACACGCAGCCTCTGCAGCCTCGACACGAAAGCAACAAGGTCTGGGCAAAGCTGGGCAGCGTGAATAACAACGGCATGGGCAGCACAAATAACAGCACGGACAACACAGATAATGGCACGGGCAGCAGCAGTGGCCTCGGCTTTGCTTACAGCCTCACCGCACACACAGCCTGTTACTGGCACCAGGACCTGCCTGGGAGCAAGGCCGGACCAGCGCCAGCTCCACACACCCCTCCTGGGGTTTCCAAGCCGTTTTTAAATGCTCACATTTCAATTCCCTGGCAAGCATTGCACAGGAACCAAAATTTGTATCCATCTTTCCCTGCATTTGCAGACACTGCCTTTATATTCTCTCAGACATTAATTCTTGCCAGGGGTGCATGCCGGTAGCCAGTAAAGGGGCAGAAAGCTGTGTGTGGCTCCCACAAGCACCCCAGAGAGCCATGGCACGCAAACATCTGGGAGCATCCCACACTTGCCCCGCAGCCGAAAAACCTGCCATCCAGCTCCTTGAACCCAAATTGGGGATTGGTGCTGGGACTTTGGAATCTGGCTGTGAGGCTAATTTAAGCAAGACAATTTATTGTCCAATCAGCCTCCCGGGTCCTTGCAGCCAAACACAGCCCAGACCCCCGCCCCCAGCCCAGGAGGGGCCATGTCTGCAGGGCTGCTGCAGTGGGATTGGAGGCAGACCCCCATTGCCAGAAACCTCAGCACATTGTCCTTCCTCTGAGGGTAATTCAAGCGTTTTACTCTGACGCACATGCAAAAGGGCTCAGGGTGTAAATCCCACACGTTTTGTGAGCCCCTCCAGGCTGAGGCAGCACCCCCCGGATGCTGAGGAGCGGCGGCAGCAACCAAGCATCCCCCAGGTGAACCCTGCCGTACCGCTGCACCTCACACAACCCCCGAGGTCCTGGTCTCAGACCTCGAAAACATTATTTTCTTTAGTACAAATTAAAAAACACCAAGAAGGGAAAGCCTCACTATTTATAGGTAGGAAGTGAAACGGTAACATTGTTTTAAGGGTCTTTTTTGGATGCACAAAATGAAACAGAGATCCACTACATGAAACAAACTATAACAAAAAAATTTTAAAAAAAAATGGAAATAGCTTAAGAAACCCTGTTCTTTGATTTCCCAGATCAGATAGATCAGATCCGGTGTTTCATAGCATTCTGTGAAAATATGTTTCCTATACCCTACCCAGACACAACACATGGATCACTGGACTGATAGACTTTGTTCCTGTGGCCACCATTTATCTAACTCTTTATTCTAGTATTTTACAGATATTTTGACAGCACCCGACTCATGCATCAAAAACATTCAGCTAGACATTTCCACCTCCAGCCAGGGAAGATTACAGAGATCTCCCACAATCTTTATTGAGATCAGCCTATTCTGTTCCAAAAAGGTGACAAAACCCCTTTTTTGTTTTCCCTTCAACCTCTATTTAAAATGAACGTTTTGTCTCTTTCAGTAATTGTTCCACATTTATTTTTAAGCAATTTCTCAGTAATTCAAATGCTCGTTAATGGCTCCCTGCACTCCACATAATTTCTCAATCATAGCCGTAATTGTAGCCACGCTTTTTGTCCGCTCCGCCGCGGTTGATTTAAGGTGGCCCCGGGTGCGGCGCCGGTGGCTTCCCCACGCCCACGGGACTGAGCCCTGCGCTTCCTTCCCGCCACGAAGCCCACATGGGGGGCACGATCAACGCGGGTGCCAGACAGGCAGGAGTCAACTCGTCCCTGACCTCCTTAGTGAAAAACAACAACAAAAAACGCTATTAAAGCAATTCGGGCTTCGTTCTTATTGCTTGAGTCCAAAGTTGGAAAAAACCCCGCAATACTCCTGTGGTTAGTTCTGCCAGATTTTCTCGGTTTTATGTCCGGCAAATGGCCGCTCAGAGCCCCCTTTTACAGGATGCTTATTGTGATTTTGGCAGTTAAGTGGGTTGGTTCCTCTGCCCCCTTGCAGGGACGCCTTCGCCCGCCCTCCCCCCCCGCCTCAGCTTCCTCCGAGCTTCGCGCCCGTCGCGTCTGCAGGGAGCAAGAGGCGACCCTCGGGTCACCACCCCCCGCCATCACAGGCACAACAGACGAAAAGGCACGGAGGAGAAGTCGTAAAGGTGGTGACAAGGCTGCTCGGTGGCACACTCGGCAACTCCGACGCGCAGAAGCATTAATTTTAAATGGGAAAGGGCATGCGATTCTGCACTGACAGCTACAGAGATGGTTCTGCTGGAGTATTTTGTCATTTAGGAAAACGATTTCTGTCTCTGCTAGAAATTGCTTGGAACTGACAAAATACAGCCGCTGCTTCAATCTTTAACGTTTGAAAATAAAATGAAATGACACCTTTAATCAATAGATGAGACCATACCGGACAGAAAATGAGCACGGCTATTACCTGTTTTAATTGCGTACTTCAGAGTTGTTCTGCAGTTCAATAAAATTTCTTCCAAGGTCTGTGGCTGGTCTGCCAGTTCCCAGTTATATTCCTGGAGGAGCTCATTTGGGTAATGGAAATCAATAACTTTTGTTGATCTATCAAAACTTTTCGCCACATACTGAAGTAAAATGTCCACAACGTCTTGTAGGAAAGACATGGTTGTTATTTCTCCGTTGCATGCTGGCAGAAGATCTGGGAATGGAAAAATTAAAAGTTAACTTTGTTTTACAACCTTATACACAGATTTTGGACAAAGGTGTTCCCCATTTATGTTTAGGAAATTTTTTCACCGTGTTAAATAAAAACACCGTTTATTTTCATTTAATAAGCAAACGGTAAGACTGCATTTTAAAGAATGTTCTGAGAGATACAGTTAGGTTTTAATTTCTTATCGAAAATAGCAATTTTTGCCTACAGTATATTTCAGACCCATTTTTTAAGACAATGAGAGCACAGGTAAACAGGAAAAAAGGGAAAACGAATCTCTGAAAAAATAAGGATTGGGAAACATGCTACAAGAAGCACTCTAAAAACTGCCATTTGCCTTGCAACAAAATATCTTCCTTGTGACTCTCCAATACAAGTAACTTGTTGATAATTTAATGCCTTTTTCTGAGGCAATGCTGCACGGTCTTTCGGGGCAGCCACTGACATCTTTTGTTTAAATGCGATGGCTCAGCCAGAGCCGAGTTGCAGTGAACCCCCCCCCCTAATTTGGGGTAACGCGGGAGCAGCCAGGCAGGCAGCAACATCAGCAGCGCGCGGTGTCTGCAGCAGCTCGCCCCCGGCGGGGCCAGGAGGGCAGAGCCTGCCCCGCTCTGCCGTGCAAACGGGAGCGTTTTGGGCAGCGAATTTCTACACGGAGCTGGGGTCTATTTAGTAGCGGAGACTACATCTCCAAGGTCAGAAACGATAAAGTGCAAAAATACCTCGAATTAAAATAAATCAGTAAGAGAGCGCTCTTTCGCCCTCCTCCCCTCAAACCTTAATTACATCGCAAGGGAAGGTCACTGTCAGTACTCCTTAGGAAGAGCAACCAGCAGTCTCCAGCACCCCCGATTTTATTGTGGTGTTTTTTTGGAGAGAGGGATGTTTTTTTTGGTTGGGTTTTTTTGGGGCGGGTTTGAGAAGTGCCCAGCGCCACGCAGGAGTGGGCCGGGGGCGCGG